TGCTTTGACCGGCTGGTTGAGAGGACAGGAAGGAGAGACAGACGAACATATAATGGTAGGTCCAGATATAGGTCCAGGTGTAAAAAAAAACACGTTAAAGATAGAAAAAATAATTACAAACACAAAACAGGTTGAGCAGAGTAAGTAAAGACAGTAGCAGAGTGAAAATTGTGGTCAGTTTGTCCTCCAGCAGTCTAAGCCTATAGCAGCATAACTAAGGGACAACTCAGAAAACCCAAGCCAACCCTAACTATAGGATTTAGCAAAAAGGAAAGTCTTAAGCCTAGTTTTAAAACTGGATAATGTGTCAGCCTCACGGACAGAGATTGGAAGTTGGTTCCACAAGAGAGGAGCCTGATAACTGAAAGATCTGCCTCCCATTCTGTTTTTGTAGATTCTAGGAACCACAAGTAAACCTGCAGTCTGAGAGCAAAGTGTTCTGTTAGGAAAATATGGAACAAGAAGATCTGTAATATAAGATGGAGCCAGGTTGTTGAGAGCTTTGTAGGTTAGAAGTAAGATTTTGAATTCTATTCTGGATTTGACAGGGAGCCAATGGAGAGAAGCTAAAACTGGAGAAATATGATCTCTCCTACCAACTCCTGTTAAGACTCTGGCAACAGCATTTTGTCTGTGAGGATCCACAACTACTTCTCCTCCACCATAACTCTCAGCACTGGCTCCCCCTAGGGCTGTGTGTTGAGCCCCCTCCTTTCACTCTGCTAACGTATGACTGTGCATCTACCCGCCCTGTGATGGACTTGCGACCCGTCCAGGGTGTACACCGCCCCTCGCACAGTGATTGCTGGACATGGGCACCAGCGACCCCCATGACCCAAAATGGAATAAGCGGGTAAAGATAATGGATGGATGGATGTGCATCTACCCATCCAGGCTGTCACATTGTAAAGTTTGCAGACAATACAGGAGAGGTTGGATGCATCACAAACAATGATGAGTCCAGCTACAAACAGGAGCTGGAACACCTGGAGAGCTGGTGCAAGGAGAATAACCTTCACATCAATGTGAAGATGATGAAAGAGATGGTCATGTACTTCAGACAGAACAAACACACCTACCCCCCACCCCTATCCCCCGAACATAGGAGGATCTGCGGTGGAAGTGGTCTCCTGCTTCAAGTACTTGGGTGTGCACCTGAATGACAACCTAAGCTGGGGTAACAACACCACCAGCCTGATCAAGAAAGATCATCAGAGACTCTACTTCCTCAAGTGGATGAGACGAGCTGGTCTGGGAAGCTCAGTCCTCACCTCCTTCTACAGGTGTGCAGTGGAGAGCATCCTGTGCTCCAGCATCAACGTGTGGCATGGAGGCTGCACAGCTGCAGAAAGAAAAGCTTTGCAGAGAGTGGTGAAGGTTGCACAGAAGTCTGTTGGAGTCAGTCTCCCCACCATCATCTATACCTCTAGATGCAGGAAGAGGGCCACCTGCATCATGAAGGATTCCACTCACCCAGCACACACTTTTTGCCCGCTCCCCTCAGAAAGGAGGTTGAGAAGCATTAAGTGTAGAACCACTAGACTGAGGAACAGCTTCTACCCTGAAGCTGTTAGACTCATGAATCTCTAACCAGAATAATCACTGTCACTGTAATGCCACTTTGATTATGTGCTGCTGACTATCCATGCTGCTGATCTCGTACTGCTGATTTATTTCATGCTGCTCTATTCATTTGCACTCATCTGCTCACACACTTATGTTCATGCTCCAGTTGTTCGGCATATTGTTTTGTACCACTAGTGCTTAGTGTATTCTTAGTTTAGCGTATTTCTTAGTTCATATCTTAGATCTTATTACTGTTATTCTTTTACAATTATTTTTTTTGTTGGATGTATGTATGATCCCTGTGTACACAATTTCTTTCCACCACATGTACCACTTATGATGTGAATGCCACTAAAGAGACCTTGAATTGTCAAAATACCAAACCAAATTCATATTCATAATTTACTTTTAAACGCTTTGTGTGATTTATAAGTGTAGCCTATTCAGCGCAGGATAATTTCTTACCTTACCAATTGTTTAGCATGCTCCGCTTCTTACGCATCCTAATCACCCTCCGCCCTCCAACTCCTGCAGGTAAGGGGCGTTTCACCTCGGGACAAATTGAGATAGCTGATTGGTCAGTTTCTGACGAGCCCACTGGATTGATTGACAGGTGGCACTGAGGAGCCGACTCATGCAAAAAAAATCATAGATTTTACTGGTCCATTTGTGTCATCATTTATTCCAAATCTATTCCAAATGTTTTCAATATTTTGGTGAATGTAAGGTTTGAGAACTAAGCTTCTGTAGTGGACTAGGCCTACGTCAAAACTACGTCTAAGGTCAAAACTCTTGACCTTTAGAACCTTGTGGGACAGGAACTGTCATTTCATGTATTTGAATACATAGATACAGGTTCACCCATCCTGAGACTTTCTTTCTTGAAGATTCAAGTGAAAAGAACACTCTCTTTTTATTATCATTACTATCTTACAAATGTTGATAATCAAAGTGTCTTAGTTCAAACCATTTTAGATGTTGCAGTGAACTAATCAATTTTATTAACTGAGTAATGATTTTTATTCTCATGTTAAAAGCTGTTGCAGAGTAATTATGCATTTTTCTGATTTCTGCTTTTGAATGAGCAAGTGTGTGCGTTTACAAGGTTACAGTCAAACGAAAAACAAGTTGTTATGTTAAAACTGTCATGTTTTAGAATCCTCTCAGACGTAAATAGAGATGTTTTGCACCTGTTTCTTAGACACGCCTAAACAGAACCCTCTCGGTCTGTGAGAACATTTCTGAGCTGTCCCATAACAATTCTCGCTGTCTCTAACCCCTTACGTCACAAAAACACACCCCTTCTGGTCGTTTCTGACCAATGAAAAATCCCAAAAAGTGAACCGGGAAAGAGTCTTTAAAATGTCAATACTTCCTGGTCTACACAGACTCACAGGGACTCACAGGTACTCACAGGGACTCACAGGTACTCACAGAGTGACTTACGACTCACGGAGTTACAGAGTTCACGGAGTTGGAGAGTTGTCAGACTTCTAGAGTTCTGGAGTTCTGATGGAGTGCTGTTGGAGTTCCTGACATGACAACAAAGCTCTTCCGAGTTCCATGGGATTATAACATTTTCCACTGAGGTGAATGTGTGTCAAACAGAGCCTCGCCACTACTTCTGACGGGCTACAGCCAATCTAAGGAGACGCTGGACCGGTAGCGTTAACGGAACACCATATCTGCTGATTATCATCAGAGAGGTAATGGGTCAAGTTTCCTACCAAGCGTACCGAGGCGAGCTGGGCTTCTGATGGAGAGTGTCGGTTCTGGTGTACATTCAATTTCCCTCAAACCCCATCCTTTACTCCCTCTAAACTTCTTTCCATCTTTAAACTTTCCTATGAAGTAGAAATTCTCCCAGATATTTAGAAATGTCTGTGTAAAATGCTCACCCACATTCATGTGGGTAAAAGATCATAGTTGTACAGTTTTCATAAATGTCTTTGGTGCAGCAACGGAAAAATCATGGCCGTATGATTTTTCCTGATTGATTGCTTATATTGTTATTTTCATAATTTGCCAAATTAATGTAAATGTTTGATGTTAAATTTGATTCTGTAAATAAATGACCGCATTCATTTTGATGGGTCAAATTTAAATGACGTCTCACTTTGCATTTCCTTAAATTCAATGCACGTTTTATTCAGTCCAGAAAAATGAGGAACTCGCGTTAAATGATGAATATATCCCAGCATCTGTTCATCTACACTTCCTAACATAACTTTATTATTAGGAAGGCTGAGAGTTACTGGATCTGAGCAAACAGTTACTGGAACGCACCCTGTCAAAATAAGAGCAGGATTCAGCTCAAATTAAGCCCTGCTGAAGTCTGAGCTTCGACTGGACCATTCCAGGTCATTTAGAGAGTCCTCTGTGTTTAGAGTCTGTCTTATTGGAAGTTAAACCTCCGTTTCATTCTCTTCTGTTCTAGATAAGCTGCTGTGTTTAGGATCATTGTTCCATTTCATCATGATCCAGTTTAGTCCAAGCTTTAGTTGTCAGACAGAAGGTCTCACAGTTGACTCTAGAATCATATGGTCTACTGGTCATTGTCCACTCAATGACTGCATGGTGCTCTGGTCCTGTAACTGCAGAAAAACCCACATCATCAGCCTTCTACCACTGCGCCTGACAGCTGATATGAGATGTTTGTGCTTATATGCTGTTTGGTTTTCTGCAAACATTTCTAAATTGGTTTCACCTGTTCCAGAAGTCTTTTGGTTTGTTTAGATAAAACTTTTTAAACCCAAGTCCTGCTGCCAAGTTCTATTGTCCTTTCAAACAAACCATACTTGTTCCACCTGTTTGTTATTCCTGTCATGACCTTTAACCTTTAACCTGGTAATTTAAGCCTGTAGAGTCTGAGATGTAGCTCATTTCTCAGGACACTACACATGTCATTGTCTTAATATTTTTGACATGACCTTTAACCCTTCCCAGATTGGATATCATCAATTGAGATCATTGCTGATGTTAATTAGATAATGACATGGTGGAATCTGTTGTTTTTTCTTTTTCTTTTTTCCAATTATGGTTGGATTCAAATGTTTTTAGATTAAAAACAAGACAGTTTCAATCTAACTTTTAGATATGCTGTTGTTTTGTATGTAAAATACCACAAAAAAGTACTTTCTTGTTCCCATGCTTGACCCAAACTGTTGAAGGATAACCTTGGTTTCGTGAAAGAAATGTTCTAGTTTGTCACCTTGTTTTGAATATATTTGGACTTGACGGTCAACAGTATAGTCCTGGTTAAAAATCTCTTCACTCTCATTCAATCTGACTGCCTGTTTGTGTTTTAGTTTATGCTCTATCCATGAAACTTTAAGATCGTATTTATTCAGTATGGGTTGTAAGATAGAACTAAATAGTTCAGCAGTCTCATATGTTTTGCTTCTATCAGATTCATTTGCCAACCGTTCTTGCAGGTGCCAGAATCGAGGAGTTTCTCTATGAAAAGTTTGACATGAAGGCTCCATCCAGGGACACCAATTCAGAGCTGCTGGGCCTGTACATGGAGGGGGCAGCACAGGAATTTGGTCCTGGGACTCCATACGGTGAGTATACATGAACATTCAAAGTCCTCTTCCTAAGGGTCAGAGAGTTAAAAATACAACTTTAGATCTTGAGCTGACATCAATAAACAGACTTACTGACAAAAATGTTAAGAGGTCAGAAGAAATGGCCCAACTTGATCATAATTTGGTCCACATGCACTCCAAAGATGGGTCTGTAAATGACACGCTGCGAGTGGATGGACTGGAATATGCATACAGTAAACACAGATAGATTTTAGATATAGTTTAGTGAGGAGTGGTGGCGCAGAGGTTAGAGAAGGTGGGCCTGTGATTGGAAGGTTGCCGGTTTGACTCTCCGGAGAGACAATATCAAAATGTGGATAGGAAAGGTGAAGAACCCACATCTACATTTGCCCCACTCTGGGCCCTTGAGCAAGGCTCTTAACTCTCACCGTCTGCTCCCTTGGGCTTCCTAGATGGCAGCTCTCTGCTCCACACAGAGGGCTGTGGTAGCTCAGTGGTCTGTGGTTGTGTCAGGAAGGACATCCAGTGTAAAAACAATTAAAGCCCCCAGTATACTGCCGCGTACGTCCGTTCACGTGTACGTACGCGTGTACTGTACACAGAGGGTTCAGACTTCGTACTCCAGCGTCCACCCTGAGCAGCTGCAGAGCAGCTTCACAGACGAGGGGCGCTTACCTTTGGGACAAATTCAGGTCACCGATTGGTCATTTGCTGACACGCCTATTGGATTGATTGACAGGTCAGGAATAAAAAAAACGAGCGCTGGCAGCAGCAGCGGTGTTCTGTGTTTATACTAAAAAGATCTAAAAAAACAAAAAAAAAGCAGGGAGCGCTGGCTCTACAGCCCACACATCAGACCAGCCCACCAGGAAATCTCCAGACCCTCCCGCAGCCACGCTGGACCCGAGTTTAATTTGCTCGTGACAAATTCCTTCATTTCTCACCATTTCAGTCATGGCATCAATGGAGGAGGAAGAGATCACTGCCTCTTGGCAAAAAAACAAAAGAAAAGGCCAGATCAGAGATGAAGAAGAGGAATTTAATACATTGGTGTCGCATACAAAACAGTCCGTCGCCGGGCAGTTTATTGTGCGACACCGCATACTCGTATGCGGTCGTAAAAATTTGAGCTTTGCACGGACATGCCCTGGGGGGTACGCTCGTACCTCTGTGTACGTACGCTCGTACCTCTGCGTACGTACGTGCGTACCTCTGCGTATGGACGTACGCGGCAGTATACTGGGAGCTTAAGTCTTCATGCGACTTAGTTTGCTTTGGTGACTCATGAAGAAGGGAGCAGCTAAAAGAAGGAGAAAATAAACTTGTTTTAGAAATTACCCTGGACAGGTCTCCAGTCCATCACCAGGACACATGGAGACAAACGAGACAAACAGCCATTCACTCTCACTCACACCTAGGGACAATTTAGAGTTGCCAGTCAGTCTAACGTGCATGTTTTTGGTCTGTGGGATGGAACTGGAGTACCAGGAGAAAATCCACGCAACACGGAGAGAACAGGCAAACTGCACCCAGAAAGATCCCCAGCTGAGATTTGAACCTGCAACAGCTCTACAACTGAGCCACCGTGCTGCTTAAATACTCCTGCATATTAGAGATTATTGTCATCTATCATCTTTGTAAATATTATATTAAGAAAATTTAGACAGTGCAACGTCTTAGCCCCTCAGCTCTTTTATCATGCTGCAAATGATAAATGATTTATGAAATCGTTTAAAACAGAGCTTTCTAAGTAGCCTACTAATGTAACACAGAACATGCGCTTCAAACACTCTCCTATTATCAAAAGCATCTACTAAAGGTTTTCCATAAACCCAAAATTCACACATTTTCCCCTCAAATTTTCTGCTTCCTCTCTCTTTTGTCTTTGTGATTTTATTTATTTATCTTTCAGGAGTTGCAAGTCAAATGTACAAAGAATCAAACTTCGGTTTTTAATGTCTGTGGTGTAAGTCACCCTAAAGCAGAATAATTCAACTATCATCGAAGATTTGTCTTGAATGAGTCAACATTCGAGCTATAATATTTTGCATTGCATTATTAGCGTAGTTTGGTGGTCGTGTAGCAGCCACATGAGTTGCATTTTTGTATTCTCTCTTGCTGAGCCTAGCAGATGATATATGTGAGGAATAAAGGCACATATTTAGTCATTAGTAACTTCACAGAGCTGGGTGTCACAGCAAAGATTAAAGATTTTAAATATTCACACCTTCACTGTGACTTTAGCTTCAGCTGTGTGTTTCATTAGGAGAGTAATTTTACATAATGTTGCAAAGACTGTTGTTTTGTGACTGACAGCACATTATATTAGTGACTACTGTGGATCAAATCAGAACAGAGCATCTCACCACACTATAAATGGTTAATGGACTGTACTTGTGTGGAGCCTTTCTAGCTAACCAGGCTACTGAAAGTGTTTTACAGCCCAGTTTGTTCCCTCATCCACCCTCACATGAATACATCATCACTCCATCTGTAAAAAGATCATCTGAATCAATTATTCTATAGCAGGGGTCACCAACGCGGTGCCCGCGGACACCTGGTAGCCCGCAAGGACCACATGAGTTGCCCATGGGGCTTGTTCGAAAAATAGCACTCATGATAAAGGAGCACCGCCTAAAAATCGTCATTAATTATATTTTTTAATTTAAGAAATAACATTTGCAAGGAAGGCCTTGCATTTATTTGAAATGAAAATGATTAATACAAATTTTAAAAATAGTTTTATGTATACAGTTTAGCAATCTTGTCGGGGGTCAAAGTTCACAATCATGCATAGACCACTCCCATTGTTGCAGCGGTGCAGCTACAAGCTAGTGTTACCTCCAAGAGGTTAACGTGGCAGAAAAACATAAGAAAACATTTGTTCACAGTGACTGGAGGAAGAGGTCTTTTTACAGTTGTGAAAGACAAGTGTGTCTGTGTCTCATTAGTGGGCTGTGGCGACAGCAAAACAACGGGGAGCGACACTTCACCAGCTAACATGTTAGCTTCAGTGCAAACTACCCCCCTGGTGACTCACAACAGACAGAAGAAAGTCAGAGTTAAAGGCAGCTTGCCGGCCCTCTCCCTCGTGGCACCAGAGGAGGGGGCGTGCCAAAGAGACCATCTTAGCACCAACATAACTGGTTTGTTCCACTTTGGAGTAAGCTGTTGGGGGAAGAATCAGTTTTGTGTTGTGTGTTTCCTTTACTGATGAAGCCTTCCGGATCGAAGGTGAAACATCACAAAAAAAATCTAAAAAAGTTAAATCTGGTCCTCTGGACATTCAAAAAAAACAAAACAAAGCAAATCAACAAAAAAATGTAGAAACGTTT